AGGAACAACAAGTAGGCCTGCAGTGCGAGAGCGAAGTGCTCTAATAGGGTGATATGGTACTACAAGGTCATTAAGATAAGATGGGGCCTGATTATTTAAGACCTTGTATGTGAGGAGCAGGATTTTGAATTCAATTCTGGATTTAACAGGGAGCCAATGAAGGGAAGCCAAAACAGGAGAAATATGCTCTCTCTTTCTAGTCCTTGTCAGGACTCTTGCTGCAGCATTTTGGATTAATTGAAGGCTTTTCGGGGAGTTTTTAGCACTTCCTGATAATACAGTAGTAATTACAGTAGTCCAGCCTAGAAATAATAAATGCATGAACTAGTTTCATTTCACAACAGGTCATAAAAACACAAGAAACACAAAATCAAGTCAAAAGGACCCCGAACCATGACAATAGGCTCCAGTCCCCTGCAAGTCTGAATTAGGTTCTTTCATTGAGTAAAGAAGGTGATGTACTTGAACTTTTACAACTTTAAAGAATTGTTTTACACTAGTATCTAAATTTAGATCCTAGATGTTATTGTTGCAATTCATAAGTATTTGTAGGAGTTTCCTACAAACACCATATTTCAACATGCATTTTATGGTGAGCTGATAGATTTTTGGTCAGAAATCAGTCAGTAAAGAACAAGTGAAGTCTTCCAGCTTTGCACAAAACACCACGGATCACTTTCATATAATTTGTATTTTCTTCTCTTCCAACATATCTGTACTAAACAACACTGAAATGTTTGCCAAAATGCAACAATTAGTGGGAGTGAATCTTTAATAGCACGTAAACAGCGTTTTTGTTGTTTAATTTCAATTTTTCTGTTGCTTGTCATTCTTTCTTCACACAATAAATTATTACAATAATTTGTACATTACAGCTATGGTAGAATTATTTTAATTGAGAACCAATTTCTAATGGGAATGCAGAGGAAATACTTGCAGTAGGATGCTGTTATAATTTTAGGAAGTCAGGACCCAAAATTCAAAAGATGAAAATTTCTGTCAACCAATGAGCGGTTTACAGAAATTTTATTTAAGAAATTGACAGTGGGGGTTAATCAGGTTTCCAGGCCATAAATTAATAGAATTTATGATGGAAGACAGTCTCCAGCCATTTCAAAAAGACAGAGCGGGTGAAGAATTGTGGCACGGAGCTGAAAGAAACAGACTAGTGTAAATGACCAGGTTCCCAAAAGGTCCTATTCCCAGTCTGACACAGCTTCATTCAGTAAGGGCTCCCGTGCTGTCATCACCTTTAAGAAAGTGACAGTGAGGGGAGAAAAACAAGGCAATTCAAGGGCTGATCTTAAAGCGAAGGAGAGAAGGTTAATTGGTTCCAGGCCGTTGATTAACAGAATTTATATTGGATGACAGTCTTACTTTTTCCATGGGGGCTTCCGAGAAGGGTGCAATATTTCCTTTCCAGGGAACAGGTTAGTGGCAATGCTGGAGCGTGGCAGGCAGGTTGTGATGTGAAGATAATGGACTTAGGATCCAGAACTAGGATGAATCAGTTTGTGCAGGAGGCACTACAGATGCTCCACAGGAGGGGTGAGCTGGAATCTGCTTCCAGCTTAAGGAATCTCCATTTACCAATTAGTTTCTTTCTGTCTTGTATTTTTATTGTTTTGTTTACTTCAAATTTAATCACAGCTATTAAAGCTGTGTTTTTGAGTTTACGTCTTTCTGCTGAGTGGTCTAAAGTGCTGAGTGCTCCTGTGACAGATAGGCGGCCTGTTCTCCCACCCTGTGATAGCTGGCACAGATCCTTCACCCCTGTGATGCCGAATTGAATAAGCTGATGAAAATGCATGGACGGATGATCTTGAACAAATTCTTGTTGAACTTCAGGCTTTTGGAAATTCTTCCAAAGTTTTTTTTTTAAACTACTGAAAGTTCCCAGATTGCTTTGATGCTTAAAGGAATTTAACATATTTAAAGTTCTGTAAGTATACAGTAAAATCATGATGTAATTTTCCCAACAACTGATTACAATGCAGCCACTCATCTAAACAGGGCATTTTGTAGAGGATATTGCAAACATGGCAGTGTTTCTTGAAACAATGGTGATCTCAAAAATTCTAAAAAACAATTTCTCAAAACCATAATTCAGCTTCTTTCCCAAAATACTGTTTCGACTTTCATCTCAAAATTACAACTTTATTCTCAAAATGATCAACAATATTTTTTTCCACTAGCATTTTGAGATCTCTTTTAATCTCTCTGGAGACACCAGCCATGCCATACTTTGCTTCAGCTCTTCCTACTTTTTATCTGCTTTTCAAGAATTAAACAATTTTTCTTCTGCATTTCTGCTTCATTCCTTATCAGTTTTTTTTTTTTTTTTAAATCGAACTTCTAAACGCAACCGCAATTCACAGTTATGGAGTCATGGAGTCATAACTCCATACATGTTAGTCAGTGATGATGGGCCTTTCCTTCTGTTTTATTTTTTTTCTAACTTTTGTACATAGTCCACATATTTTTTCTTTTTTTTTCTTTTTCCACATATTTTTTCTTCCAGTCTTTAAATAGACTGGATAATGATAATGACTGGAAACAGGCGAGAACACCACTGACACAGGAAATAGAACTAAACTGACAAAAGTCCAAACTGAACACACTGGGTCAATGACCCAGGTACACTGACAGTACATAACACTACATATACTTTCTGACGATAAAATAGAATAACTCCACTGGCATGTCTGCAATTACAGTAAGTACTTTGTATCTTAAACCTACATTATTTTTGATGGTTACTTGGGGGTGATAGCTTTGGCTGAAATGCAAATACAAATACAGTGCAAAAACAAAAAATGCATATAGTAATATTTAATAACATATTTAAACGAATTTATGTATTCTGAATTGATCCACAAGATGTTGAACACACTTTCTTCTTATCTTAGCTATTCATAGTTCAATTCCTATCTCCTCAATTAAAGATATTAGGCGCTCTTCAATGGGAATGTTAATGATAGCCTTTTATTTAAATGCATAATTTTGGACATTATTAGTGTTAAAAACAGTTATTATATTGAAGCCATGTTTTCTTTATTGCAATGAAAAAGGTCAAATTTTACCTGTAAACAAAATGGACACATCATCTTTTCTCTTTGTAGTGATCTTAAAGCTGCTGCAAATGACGAGAGAGAACATGAGGGGATCTAAAGTGGAAGAGCATCTGCCAAGTGAGCAGGAGACAAGCGTGTCTTTAAATTCATTTTCAAATAGCAACAAGATTCCTGGTTTATCATAGGGTAAAAAAAATGATCATTTAATGGCCTATAGTGATGAGTATTGTGATCATGTGCATCATTTCATCAAAGTGCCTGTTGCTTAGAATTTCACTCTACATCTGTTAAGTTGTACATGATAGACATGGATCATCTTGCGGAAAATACAAGAATTTTGTATTTATTGAAAGATAATTGTGTAATGAGACACATTGCAGTGTTTGATGTAATGCCAGTTTATGGTTTTACAGGGCACCTTCTGCACAATCATTACTAACAGCAGCTGTGAAGGAAACAATTTCATCACCTTAACAAATGGAAAGTCATTTTCTTTGTGACAGTGGCTGCAAGTGGGAGAGAAGTTGCAGGGACACCTGACAACGAACATCTCTCAGGTGTTGTCACGAGGGCTCGGAGCTGAATAGAGTGTTATTCTCCTCTCTCAGTTATGACACGGTGACAAAGGAGGGGCGACTGTGTATGAGAGGGACACAGAATGACAAAGGATGAAAGCTGCAGTTACTAAAAATAAACCCAAGAACGAGAACATCAAAACATTTGAATCGCAAGGTCAGCCTGAGAGAACAAGAAGAAAAGCAGCAAAGTCACTCAATGCAACTTTCATTTTATAAACTTCTCCACACATGGAAATTCAGTATATAAGGCAAAAAAAGAAATTTCTGCAGTTCTTGAAAGCTTGGAAGTCAATATCTGGTATAGCCAACTTTATTCTTTAACACTCTTCTTTAAGCAGTCTTCAGGAATAGCCTTCTTGAAGGACACTCAAACCTTTTTTTCCACGTCAATATGCATTTGGTTTCAAGATGTTCCCACACTGCTATCAGTCCATAACGGATAGTTTTCCAGTTTGTGTTTTTCTATCCAGGTATGCTTTTACTGCATTGGCAGTGTATTTGGTATGACTGATATGATGCAAAATTAAGCTCTTGCTTCTGAATTTTTTCAGATGGTATTGCATGGTAGAACACAATCTGAGATTATTTTTATGTCTTCAGAATTCTATCAATTTTGACAAAATCTCAAACACCACTGACTGAAATGGAGCCTCAAACCATTCTAGCCAATAAAAGTATTTATTACGGCTATAATCCTGTCTTGGTCTCTGCTCTTGAGCTGGGTTTTTTGGTTAGTCCTGACAGTCAGCACAAGGACTAGACTAAAAGTGAATGAAAAAAACACCAATGTCCAGAAAGGCTGAGAAACTTTAGCAAATTTTACAACAAAGTGTGTCTAGTTGCAACTGGGCAGAAGTTGTATCTTTCATTGCGTAAACATTCATAGCTAATCCAGCTGAAAGACCCATGCCTAATGCCTTAGAAAATGCAAATGCATAAATAAAAGGAATGAATGAATATTTAAAGGATAGGCATAAAAGCCATGAGATGCTTCGTGTTCATTTGTCATTGTTATGATCAGAAAGCACCTGCTCTAAGTAGTATCTCCATGCTGCCCTTTTATGAGTAACACATCAGAGCAGGTAGGCAAGTTTTAACCTATTCTATCTCTAATGAAGTATATTGCACAGTACTGAACTCACTTCAGGGATATATTAAGTTACACATGCGTCAAGGCTCACGTCTGGCTCAGGATTTGATGAATACCCATGATACATGGTTTGTTTTTCACTTAGCTACACTGATTAAAACCTGGAAAGAACTGTTGCCATGGGTGTCTCACCTGTGGAATTAATTATCCCACGTTGCATCCTCTGACTTCCTGATAAACAAGCCATTCAGAAGAGTCTGTGATCTCATTTTTGCAGGACTCTAACCAGGTAGGAACACCACTGTTATGAGCTAATAGTTGTTGTAATGCTTTTTCATATGTGTGTGTGTGCATGTGTATTTTTGTATTATTTGTTTTACATTATTTTTCAGGAAACTGCAAGCGCACCTTTAATCTCTCCAGCAAAATGCCAAGCCAGCTTGAGAGTGCAATGGATGCACTGATGACAGTTTTCTACAATTACTCGGGACATGATGGAGATAAATACAAGCTCAACAAGGGTGAGCTGAAGGAACTCTTGAACAGTGAGCTCACTGACTTCCTCACGGTAAGGCTGATGTTTAAATGCAATGATTATTTTGTTGTTTGTTTTGTCTGTTCGGCATTTAGACAAAGATTTGATGTCATGCAGAATTTTCAACAGGAAGCACAATCCCTGTATGGATTTAAATTAATGGGAACATGCTGGTGTACTGAAGTATGACTATGCATTTCATTAACTGAACTATAATGACCAATAGTAATTGCATTAATTTGCTTATGGATCTTGAACACTTTGAAGTCTTATTCACTTAAAAGTCAATCTTAAGAGTGATGTGTTCAAATGATGTAACATCCTGACCTTGTTGGAGGAAATTGTTTTTTCATTGATTGCTTTCTTGCTGTCAAAGTGTAACTGCTTGTGGCTCTCGCATGACCACCATGGCAAATAAATGATGCGGGGAGAGAGATAGATAAGGTCATTTGAGATAAATCCCTGCCCCTGAGTCTGTGTGATAGCAGCGCGTACAAGCCTGCAATTTCAAATGATTGAGACCACAGCATCAACAAAACAGCCAAGGTCTAAAACCTGATGCCTTCAGATATCTTTCTTGTTACTGTCCGTCCCCCTTCATGTGGGTGGGAGGCCTCAGGTGCTCACACATCATCATCATCATCATCAGTGACCCATATCACCTCCAAATATAGACATCCTCGTGATGTCATCACATCCCTGTGGGCTGTAGTCACCTCTGAGAATAGACACAGTGGCGTTCACCCTGAGTTTCTGCCAACAGGAAACTTTGACACTTGACAACCAAAGCATGATACAGTACTTACTACTACATGTTCTGTCTTGATAGAATTGAAAGAATTTTAAAAAAGTAATGCAAAATTCAAATTAAGTGTGCTCTTGATTAAGATTGTTAGATTTATTTACTGATAAAATGGTAGTCTTGCATTTTTCATGTTTATGTCTACTGTCGACTCACTCAAGGTGACTTTGTATTTTAACGTAGCTTTGAGTTTTTCAGACCAAATTTAAATTGAAACTACATTAGAAAATGCAAAACTGCTGTGGTGATATTTTTTCTAATTTAAATTAACCCCCAGTGTGGATTTTAATTTTAACCTTCTGAGAAATGCTGACTTTAGTGCCACAACAGAAAGATCACTGGTGCCTTGGAGGTTAGAGGACGAATAAAAAAACGTCTTGTTTCCCAGTCATGGAGGAAATGAGCAAAGTAATAAATGTCGCATTTGATTAGCTGAGGCTCACGGGTCATTTAGTGGCAGCATCACTCTGCTCACCACCGGACATGGGGCTTTGCCTTGAGTCAATATCAACCACCAGTAACAGTCACATTTTATGCATTATTACCGGAAGCTTAGAAGCGTTGAAGGTATTTGGCTAAGAAGTTGATAATATTGGTAACAAGTTTGTTTTATGGAAAAATCATTACAAGGCATTACAAGAGTCACAAAGACATAATCATTCCAGTTGCATATTTGTTGAATCACTATCTGTTTGTGTTTTGTTTTCAGTCTCAGAAAGATCCCATGCTGGTGGAGAAAATCATGAATGACCTGGACTCTAACAAGGACAACGAGGTGGATTTCAATGAGTTTGTTGTGTTGGTGGCAGCTCTGACTGTTGCCTGCAACGACTTCTTCCAAGAGCAACAGAAGAAAAAGAAATAGGTGTCCAAAAAAACCCAATGTCCATCCACATTTTAAGCTGTAGCTGAATTGTGTCGTAGTTTTCCCAGAGCATAGGATTGTCATTTGTGGATGTAAATGTAACAATGTACAGACTGGAGCTGTTAAACAATCACTTGATCTCACATCGACCTTGTCTTTTACAAATTATTTTATTATTTTTGTTATAAATATAACTAGAAAAACCCTTTCCTTAAGCCCTCCATGGTGTTGTTATTGTTGATTTTTTTGTGTATGGAAGTGTTTCATCCAAACCTTTGTGCATAAATGTGTAATTGGTTTTCTTTTAGTTTAGTCTGCAAAAGAAAGAATAGAATAACTTACTGTTGATTAATTCAGAGGTATTTTCCTTAAAAATGATAATGTGGTCATCTAAAAACCTTTCCTAAATCCTTACAAGATTTTGTTCCAACAGATGTCTGGAAGTTTTAAAGGTCATATGTTCATTTAATATGTTAAGGATGCAATGAACAGTTTCGCATTTACTCTTAGCCTCCGTTCCCTAAGGGGAATTACCTTTTCCTGGCACAAAATTAGAGTCGTGGAAAAATACGCAGGCCCACAGTGATTTAGCCAAGCGTTCCCCTGTAAAAGGAATAAATGTCTCACTGCTATATGCCATGTGTGGTATTTTGTGCACTTTTGAACAAGATTTGACTTCAGTGTTGTCTTTCAATAATTTCTTATATGGCCACAAATGAAACTTACCTAAGATTCTTGAAGACATCATGTTAAAAGTAAATGCACTTAATAAATGTAAATCTATCCTGTGTGACTTATTTTATGCTGATCCACTGTCTTGCACGACTGTATTATCCTGTAAAGCTTACAGTGCATTCAAACTCCAGTAAAACAGTAAATTGTTACAATATAAAATTACTATTATAGTAAATGCAACATTGTACCAAAAACTGTATCATAAGAAAACAGGTAATTGATTTAATTAAAATATGTGAAAAGCATCAGGCATTTAATGATAGCTGTTCAAGTTAAATACTTAATATACAATTTTAAAGGTTGCAAGGAACCCACACCTCTCCAAAGGCTCACAATACACAGCTGTGGGGTTATTAGCTCTTTATTGTGGCACAACTGGATTAATTTGTTTCGATTTCTATCCAATTTTGAATTGAAAGAGCTGTTCAGGCCCGTTAAGGACATATAGGAAGACTACACAGATGGAGTACAGTTTATTGCAGTGCAGTTATATATAATATGCATACAAACTGAATCAGGTAAAGCAAATGAGTTTAGATGAGCATAAAACTGAAATACTCAGCACGAGTTTCTACCTGAGTTTCCCTTTTGGGAAATGACTGTGTACTATGTCTTTATGACGCATGGTGATCCCAAGTTGGGTCCAGCTGGATCAGCCAAACACACAGATACAACATCCCCTCAAGCAGAAATGCAGATTTTTCTCACCTTGGGAAGGACAAAAGTGTACACTGAAGCTGTATTTTCTAAGGGTTTTCCTCCCTTTCTCTCTCTCTTTTTCTCTTGCTCTCAGCCCATTTCCCAAAATACCAAACTAGACAGTTCATTTGCAGTGATATTCTCAGCTGTGACGTGGACAAAATTACTGAAACAAAATCCAGAGGCAAGTCTGATGCTTTTATGTGAGCAGATGGTGCTTGCACAAACCCTCACCACGACAATGCAATTTGTCTGTGATTGGCTGTAATCGAGCAGGATAATCACCCCATGGGAAGATGCCATGCCATAATTATGCATTTTGTTCAATTTTTAAAAGGTTGCAATCAATTCTAAGTGTCATTTGATAATTTTGAAATGTGGATATTTATATTCTCACTCGTGTGATTGCCCTCCACTTTCACAAACCTCTTCCGAATGTTCATGTGATTGTCTCTTTATTTCCTGTGAGCGTCATGTTCAGGAACTGGCTTCTAGCAGAGCAAAAAAAAAAAAACCCTACCCATCACACAAAGTTTGAGTCATCAGCCGTGATCAGATCTTCATGTCCTGTGTCAATGTATTCATTCAGCTATTGTGGGGGGAAATGCATCCAAATTATATGGGGCAGCTAAGAAATTGTTAACATAAAAGTGGTTGCACCTAAAGCACAATTGCATCTTTCTAGCACAAAGACATTACTAGAGAGAGATTTTTAAAGCAGAAATTTTATATAATGTAGTAATTTTCTTATTTGTTAAAAAAAAAACTATAATTCCAAAAAGCATAATTTAATCTATACCTAATATAATGTAAGAGGATGGAGAAAACAAATAATATTAAATATTAAACAATTGTTTAAAAAAAAGAAGAGTGTTTTTGACACTTCAAAGAGAGATAACGGGATATTAAAGAGGACATAAGAGACAACTGATGAAATATTATTAGTATTATTGATCTCTAGCACTTGGCAAAGTACAAGACTCATTCCCTGAACACATTTTGTTGTTGTTTATAAAACTCTAGATAAAACTGCATCAGGAAATCAATCCAGGAAATGTGCCTCAGATTAGTATTTTCAGTTTTACCAAATATGGCACAAAAATTGTGATTTCAATTGACTGAGTTGAGCACAGTTGTAGCTTTTTGGGACAGTTTCTCCTCACTCCAAGTGTCAGCCATCCAAATGTAGCTGCTACCTGTGACGTCTTTAAAATATGCCTCGAGCCCTTATCTCCCACATGCTGTCCGCTCCCCCTTTTCGTCACTCTGTGCGTCACCGTTCGTGCCAGAACTCCTCATTAGGAGTGAGCTGTGTTTGTGAGTGTGTGTGTAATGCTTTTGGTTTCTTAATTTTCTGATAAGCATTTAAAACTTTGTGAAGAGAGCATTTAAATTTGAAATCATTTGATGTTTACATCTGTAAAGAAATATTGTAATAATAAGACATAAACTAATAAGAGAAGATAATTTAAATATAATATAAAATCCCCTATTAGAGATTTCTTTTTATTTTCCAATACTGACTGAGTGCTATTAGTAGCAACGTTTTATTTATATATCACACAAACTAAATTCAAAGTCTAAGAAAATGTCAAGGCAACATTATTCAATAGATTTTCTTTGAGGTTAACAATAAAATATGTGGTTTGGCACAGGGTATTACATCAGACACTGTCTGGGTTAGGGTTAGGGCTTGGGAATATCAGTGGGAATACACAAGCGTGTGGTTTGTGTATTCCCATCCACTTCTGACTCACCTGCAAACTGTGGCTCTTTTCTTTTCTTTTCTTTTTTTTGTAAATATAAAGAAGGTCCAAGTTGTTTTCTGTTAAAAATTCATGAAGTTTTATTTCCCACTACCACCGATTTATAAAAAGGACTAGATGCTTGTTTTTTGTATTTGGTTTTTTGGTTCTCATATAACTAGGTGAATCAAGAAAATGAGAACTCAGTTGTGGAAACGACACCACACATGAGGGGTAAGCAGCCTAACAGATTATTAGATTGTATTTAGGGGAATAAAGCATGTTGTCTTTGTGTACTAACCTTGTACTTAATGTATGATGATAATGTATTTTGATTAAAATGGTATAGTTAGCTTCATTTATGAAGTCTGGTCATGTTTGCTTGGTCAGCCTCCCCTGTGACTCAGCCAGAAAATGAAAATGACAGGGGTTTTTTTGTTTTTGTTTTTGTAAAGAACAAATTAATATTTATTTTAAACACATATTGGTGTTGCTTAGTAACAAATAAGGGGGGCAGACTTTCTACAACAGATTGCCTTATCTGGGAAAGTGGTGTGCTCATCAGAGGATGACAAGAGGACAAGAGAAAAAACACTTTCCTGCTGCCCCTGCTGGAACATGTATGGCCTGATCTGTCTCTCATTGATAGTCCAGCCTTTGTATCACTTACTGGTGCAGTTCTTCACTGAAAATTGTTCTACTCAAGAATTTACTAAACTGATGCCGAGATTTTAAACTGAAGCTGCTTCAAGACGAAATCTGGGTTTGAGCTAAACTTCCCAGGAGGCCTTTCTAATTACAGTAAGGTCATTAATGATTAATTAAGGACATCAATTAATCATTAATGTTATTTGTCAAAACAGACATATGGACTCTTTGGAGTTTTGTCAGTGAAGATCAGCAAATATGATTTTCAGTATAAAGGATATTTAATATCAAAGATCATTTTTAAATAGGATTTGATATGTGACCAAAGACGACTGCTGGCACCTGCCTGTCTTATTACTTTACGGCTTTCAGTAAGTAGTGACCTTTGGCAAGAAACTGAGCATGTTCTGTGTCACTGAGCTACAATGTATTTGGGGTCATTTGTTAAATAAGAGGACACTTCCTGAACTCCAATATTACTGTGGTTTAAAGAAACTACACGACCAGGAGAAGTACTCTGGACTTCAAGACAGTGCTCATGTTTCCATAAATTGTTCATCTATAACAGGAATTGTGGGTCTGTTAAATGTATAATGTTCAATTTCAAACCTGTATGGAAATGTAAGAAACACTTTTAGTACCTCATCATGTGACATTGTGGTTCAAGATCCACAATGTGTGTAACCTAAATGTGTGTATGTATAGGGTACAAAAGTCTTGAATTTCTTGTAAAGATTTAATGCAATACAGGATATTATAAAAGCAAAAAATATTGCTGAAAAGTGGCGTCGTGATTATGCAACTGTGATATTTTGAGATGCACTGCACTCAAAATATTGAGTGCCTGTATCTGCTCTAATCTCCTGTTGAGTGATCGACAAATAATTAATCATCTTCGCTGAGAAAGGCCAGATTCAAATGTCAAACATAATTTTCTGTAGAATAACAGAGTAGTTCGGTATAACTGACAGCATCAAAAGCAAGCTGTGAGTCCAAAATACACACGTGAGGAACATTTGAACTAAACTACGGCTTTATACAAAGAATGTGATGTGGCTGCTGCAAAGCTTTGGCTGACGATTCAACGTCTATCATACTGTACGCACAGGACAGGAAAAAGCCAATAATGTCTTAGATTCTTTGTGTCATGGAGTAAATGCGTCATCTGGCTTGTTCATTAACTACATCACTGAGCACAGAGAGAATACATAGGAAGCTGCTTGATTTAGTAACACAGTGCAACAGAACACATTTTTAAACATATAAACATAATTGAGAATGATGGTACAGTCGGTGTAATGTACACTCGTGTAATTAGAAAAACATGTAACACATAGGCTTTAACAAAAAGGATTTTCTGCTGTAAAGCATCTGAGATCCTAATGGTCTTGCCACTCATTGCTTTTGTATCCACAAACTATTAAGAACAACACCTTTGTGAAGCACACTGTTGCACAGGTGACAGTTTTCTTCATTGAGATTCACAAAATATAAATACAAGGTTATTATTTAGCGTCAATAGCAGCAGCGGCACATATGTTTTGTATCCAACTTTGTCCACACTATTCAAAAAAGATAAAGACTACCAATGTGGCTTCAGGACACTGTCACACATACACACACGCATACAGACCTACAGTTGTTGGCTATAAAGTCTTGGGCAGTCGTTCATCACCAGCTTGTGCCTGCACATGTCTCTCAATGATAATACACCTTCAGGCCTTTAATCACAGGTCGCCCCATTGGTTTGTGTGATTCAGGCATTAATATTTTAGAGATACCGCCTGCTGTTTTCTCTGTAGTGACAACAAGAGTTCGTTATGTACCCAGGACAGTCATCAAAGGCAGTGACATCATTCCACATATGAGGTAATGATGAAGAAACACGT